CTGAGCTAAATCCCCAGCCCCCCTATACCTATTTTCTTAAGGGTTTTTATCATGAGCAGCTGTTAGATTTTGTCAGAAGCTTTTTTGCGTCTATGGAGATCATCATATGATTTTTATCCTTGTTCATATAGTACATTAAATTTACTGATTTGCTATTTGAAGTGTCCTTGCATTCCTGGTTTGAAGCCTACTTGGTCATGATGTATGATCTTTTTGATGATTTCTTGCATCCTCTTTGCCAATATCTTGTTGAGGATTTTTGTGTCTGTGTTCACTAAAGAGGTTGGCTTGTCATTTCAGTATTTAATTTTATACTTGACTGGCTTGGAATCAGGATGTTACCTTCCTGGAATAACTTTGGCAGTATTCCTTTCAATTTCATTTCAAGAGTTTGAGGAATATTGGCAGTAGATTGTTTCTGAAGTTTTTGTGGAATTCATCATCAAGTCCTGGGCATTTCTTAGTTGGTAGATTTTTTATTGTTCAATTTTATTTCTTGTTACTGAATTATTGATGGTTTTTATTTCGTCTTGTTTCAGTTTTGATAATTCATAAGTACCTGGTATTTAGCCATTTATTCTGGATTCTCCATTATGGGAGTTACTAATAATCTGGATTGTGGCAGTGTTCATTGTGACTTCACCTATTTCATTCCTGTGGCATTGATTTGGGTCTTGTCTTCCCTTTCTTTGGTAAGATTGCCTGAGAGTTTGTCTATTTTGTTGATTCTTTCAGAGAACCAGCTCTTTATTCATTTATTCTGATTTCTTGCATCTTTTTAGTCTCAATTTCATTAATTTCTGCTATGATCTTTATAACGTCCTTCCTTGTACTAGCTTTGCATTTGGATTGTTCTTATTTTCTGGAACCTTGAGATGCATCATTTTTATTTATTTGGGTTCACTTTGTTTTTCTGATGTGAGTGTTCATAGCTGTAAAGTTCTCTTTTAGGATTGCTTTCATTGGATCTCATAAGTTTTGTTATGTTATACTGGCATTATCATTTGATTCTCAGGAATAATGTCTTCTTGAATTCTTATTGCTTACTCCAGAGTGTATTATTTAATATTATTTAATTTCTATATGTTTATTTTTGTGGGGTTTTTCTGTGTCATTCAGTTATAGTTTCAATGTGTTATGGTCTGATAATATGCATGATAAATTTGAGTCTTTTGTATTTGTATTTGAGTCTTTTATATTTGCTTAATCATGTTTTCTGGATTGGCATGTGGTATGTTTTGGAAAAAGTTCCATATGCAGCTGAGAATACATATTCTGTTGTTATTTGGTGGAGCACTCTTTTAAGTTCATTTGCTGAAGGTTTGGGGTTAAATCTGCTATTTCCTTGATGTGGATGTGTGTGTGTGTGCGCGCGCGCGCACGTGCGTGCGCACATTTCATCTGCTTATTTGTGACGGTGGGGTGTTCCAGTCCCCCATAACTGTGTCAATATTTACCTGGTATTTTACATCCAGTAATGCTTTTTTATAAAATTGCGTGCGCTGGTGTTT